GCAAAAATGGCCCCATGTAGGAATTATACCCCAAACATCAGGTCTGTCAAACTCACATTGTCATGGTGGTGTCACGTGATGTATCAGGACTTTTTTTCCCCTTCGCTAAACTGGGCATGGGCGTGGCCAGCATGTGACGCATCCAGCCCCTAGGTCACAAGTTTGACAGCTCTGCCAAACATGTTTAAATCATCAGCCACTAACCAAGTTGAATGACCCTACTAGTGATTCTAGCTGCACATGTTCACGTTAACTTATCTGTAATTGGGTGGGATGCTACGGGTTCTGCCCGGTTCTATAGAGCCAGTAGCTCTGAAGAGCAGCAGACACCGAACCAGTTCTGTGTTTGCTGCTGTTTGGCCCACCCACCTGCCCGGGCTCTTACCTGTCCTTTGTTTCCTGCTTTTTCAACCCCAGTACTTTGTGCGGCACAGCTGAGGTTGAAAAAGCAGGAAAAAAGAGGCTTTTCAAATGCTGCACACCTGCATGCGTTTTTCAGCTGTCCAGGCAGCACAGCCTAAGGTTATTTTACACGCACACGCAGCACCGAACCGGTAATTACACCAGTTGAATCCCACCTCTGTCTGTGATCTCTGTAACCTGTGTTTTGGACCCATGCCACTCCTGGCTGGTTAAAGCCTCCAAGGAAGCGACATATGATAGAATGCATGAAGGGACTAATATCTATTTTAGGGAATAGGTGAGTTTGTCAGGCTGGAAGACGGTAGTGAAAAGCCCCCTTTTTTAACCAACTGTGTTGAATTACTTTTGTTTTTGACTCTTGATGGAGTAGCACCAGGGGTGGGATTCTACCAGTTCGCACCTATTCGCTAGAACCGGTTGTTAACATTCTAAGCAGTTCGGAGAACCTGTTGTTAAAAGAAATTACTGGCCTAATCCTGTAAGGAAGGCAGGATGGAAACATTCTGGTGTTGCTTACAGAAACTGCCTCTCCATTAACCCTTATTACATTCTTGGCAGGACTAGACTTCCTGTCTCAGGAATTTCCCTGGAGTTTTTTTTCCTTCCTTTGCTGGTACTTTGCTTGTGTGGAGTGACCATTCAAAGTTACAATGGCACTGAAAAAAGTGACTTATGACCATTTTTCACATTTACGACTGTTGCAGCATCCCCACAGTCATGAGGGCCAGGGGAGGAGATGCGTGACTCGATGTGAGTGATATTGTGTTGGCCACGCCCAGCCAATAACATGACCACCAAGCCATGTCCACCCAGTCACATGACCACCAAGCCACACCACCACCTAAGCCATGCCCACAGAACCGGTTGTTAAAAATTTAAATCCCACCCCTGAGTAGCACTTACCCAGGCAGAACTAATATACAGTTTGGGGATCTTCCTGGATTTGTAGCTCAAGAAGCAATTGGTAGCTGGCAGCTCTGACTAGGGACCTTTTGCACAGATACATGTTGTGCATCAATCACACTTATTTGTGGCTTGGGATGCCCTGCCTAGGATCACTCATGCCTTGCTCACTTTCAAGTGATGTTCTAATATCTTAAGGGGCTGCCACAAAGTATTTTTCAAAGTACCCAAAGGCAAGACAACACACAATGGATGGAAACTAACCAAGGAGAAAACCAACGTAGAACTAAGGAGAAATTCCTTGACTGTTAGAACAAGTACTCACTTGAACAACTAGCTTCCAGAAGTTGTGGGTACTCCATCACTGGATGTTTTTAAGAAGAGATTGGACAACCATTTATCTGATATGGTATAGAGCAGGGGTGTCAAACTGGTGGTTCGCAGGGTGGATGTGTCACATGCAGGCCACGCCCACCTCAGCTCCGCGAATGGGGTCAATGTCACAAAACATCATGTGATGGCAATGAGTCGCTGCGAGTTTGACACTTGTGGTATAGAGTTTCCTGCTTGAGCAAGGGTTGGACTAGAAGACCTCCAAGGTCTCTTCCAACTGTTATTCTGTTAAGCTGTCCTATTGCAATGTGTTCTGCATGAGACTATCTTTGAAGACCTCCTGGAAGTTACAGTTGGTCCAGAATATAGCATTTTGCGTGGTAATAGACATCCTTCAGTTTTCCAATAGTACACCATTGCTGTGTGAGCTGAATTGGCTGCCAGGTTATTCCTTGGATGGAATTCAAGATGCTAATTATCATCTTTAAAGCCGGGACATTTGAAGAACTTCCTCTCTTTGAGGGTATTGCCCAGTGAAAACAATATGCAATGAATGTAGACTGTAGAATACTTTATTGGCCAAGTGTGATTGGACACACAAGGAATTTGTCTTGATGTAAATACTCTTAGTATACATAAAGAAAAGATACATTCATTAAGAATCAAGAATCATAATGTACAACACTTAATGATAGTCATAGAGTACAATCAACAATCAAATCATACTAGGAAGCAGTCAATATAAATCATAAGGATACAAGCAACAAAGTTACAGTCCTACAATCACAAGTGGGAGGGGATGGGTGATAAGGAGTGATGAAAAGATTAACAGTAATAGTAGTGCAGACTTTGTAATAGTTGAACAATGTTGAGGGAATTATTTGTTTAGCAGAGCGATGGCTTTCGGGTGAAAACTGTCCTTGTGTCTAGTTGGTCTGGTGTGCAGTGCTCTATAGCATTGTTTTGAGGGAAGGAACTGAAACAGTTTATGTCCGGGATGTGAGGGGTCTGTAAATATTTTCACAGCTCTCTTTCTGACTCGTGCAGTATACAGGTCCTTGACCGAAGGCAGGTGAGTAGTAATTGTTTTTTCTGCAGTCCTAATTATCCTCTGAAGTCTGTGTCTGTCCTGTTGGGTTGCAGAACCAAACCAGAAGGAATAAAGAAACCATTAGAGAGCATTTCACCGAGGCGGCCGTCGTTGGCGCCATCTTGGTTGTCAGAAATATTTGAGAAGAAAACGTCCATACATGTTGTTTATCCACACACACAAAAATTAAATTAAGCAACACCAAATTTATAATAATTCAAACACTAAAATAAAACACCAGGGAAGAAATAATCTCAAAGAAGAAGGTGCCTCCTGCCACCCATTGTGCAGCTAACAAAGTCTTACAGAGCTGAATAACAGAAACAAATTGTCTGTTTGGACACTCACATCTCTTACTGTTTTGCCAAGTGTCAGGGCACTGATCAAGCAATTTGAATCTTTTGGATTCAAAGACAATAAGCATGCCAGTAAATAAAAGGATTTGAAATTTTATTATTCGCTCAAGCAAACAGATTTAAAAGTATAATGTAAAAAACATACATACAATGCACCATGATACCCAAATCTCTTACAAGCTGCCAGGAGCTCCTTAATAATGACAGCAGAGATACCCTGAGGGCAGTCAATTTCCACAGTACTCAGTTCTAGGATCTATGAAGATGCTCCCAACAAACAACAACCCCAACCTTTTAATCAAAATTTGGCACCATGACTTCATGGCTCTGCTGTGGTCAGAAGACTACAAAACCTGGCCTTGACTAGATGACACATAACTTCAGGATGGAAATAGAAAGTCTGAGATTTTCACAATACCAGTTTGCAACTATATGAAAGTTTTCTCCCCCCTTTATTCAGGAAAGAAGAGTAAAAAAACAAATAGGTTGATCTCAGAATGAGCTCTAAGCTTCTAAACTTTTCTTAATGTGAAGGAGAAATATGACACTAATCTCCTCGAAATAACAATGATCTTCTACACTGCCGCTATGCTTTCTTCACCAGCAACAAAAATGATCAAAAACAGGAAAATCGAGGTAAACCAGCTAATAATCAAGATAAGCCCAGATTGACATCCCCATTATTTTCAGGAGATTATAAACAAAAGTAGAGCTGCAGCAGGTATCTTGCTGTCCTTTCAGAGCTGTAGAAAAATGTCCTTTTCTTCTTCTCTGAGTCAAATAATGCAGTTCTAGTTTCCTCTTGCACATCTGGCCAGATTTGTGGAAATGATATTTTTAAAATCCGCAAGGAAGAAACTCAAGAAACAGTGCTGAGAAGCCAAATGCTGGAGGAAGAAGTGGTGGCGGCAAGGGCTGGAGAGTGACTAGTGAGAAAGGTGCTTCCTTTCAGATTATATGGACCTTGATGCTCTGATAGGATAATGCAGGATTAAAGAGGTATAGTGGCATGGCTGAACCCATGGGATGTAAAGGAGGCATTTTATTTTTCTGGAGTTCAGGTATAACAATCCAAAAAAAAAGGTGCATAGTCAATGAAGAAAAGTTATATCTGTTTTGCAGGAAGCAATTAAATAGAAAGTCAAGATGATTGTTACATATATATCCCAGGATATTATATTTGAGTATGAGTCACATTGAGTGTGTATCACACCCATTCCATCTGTAATTATTCCCCACACATTTTAAATCCAATCCATTGTTCCCTAACTTTGTCCTCATCTTCTGCAGATGTGCCTAAGCACGTTCAGCTATTATTTTCTTCTTTCCTAGGAAATAAAACATCCTCTTAAGGAAATCAGCATCCACACATACCTCTAATGCCATTAAGTTTGGCAATATTGGAAGTGAAAAGAGGGTTGCGTGGGTTTTTCGTTTTTCATAGCTAAAGTAAGAGACACTGGTTAAAGCTTATTGCTAACTGTTATTTTTCTGTTTCAACATGTCAGCTCCATTTTCTTTGCAATAAAATGAAGAACGGGCACACATATAAAATAGTTCTACAAGAAACAAACAAGCCAAAACAAATGGTACAATGCAAAAGAAGTTTGCACATGGACACAATTAGCGCGTTGTCCCATGCTTCATTGCATGTTGAAGAAAACTGGATATCTGAAGAGCCAAGAGACTTCTTAATTTGCCAAAAATATATATAATCAAGGTTATTGAGAAAGGCTGTATATATCAGCTGCAAACAATAATGTTGATTATCTAAAAAGCCAACCAAAGTAAAATTATATATCCATGTCAAGGTAAGAAAATGAAAAACAAAATCAGGCCTCAGGTACAGAGGTGGTATGATTAGAGATATGGAAATCTGCCCTGGCAAATCATCATCCTGGAATGTGTTAGAGACCTTCATAAGCAGCCTTTTGAATGAATCAATCAGTTTTCACCAAATGGATCTGTAGAAAGCTGCTTTTAGTGGGAATCAGTCACTGGTTCACTGCTTGCATGACCCAGGGATTCATCATTGCAGGATCTATAGATCACTACCTGCAAGGGTTCCTTGGAACGACACCTTTTCTGTCTTCCAACAAAAAAATAAACAAAAGGATTGAGGCTGCTGTTGATTACATTAAGCAAGGAAAAGCTACGAATGATGGTCTCATTTATGGGCAGTGTTGGCTGCATGTATTCTATCAGAGAAAGGATCTTGTGAGGCATAGCAAAGATAAGAAAGAGAATGACTGTGAAAAGGATAGTACGATAAAAGCGAGCTGGAGATTTTATCTTCAATATTTTGATAAACAGACTGAAGCTACAAAAGATCATAACTGGCAAAAATAGCATGAGAACAGTGACAATGACTGAATTTTCAGGACAAATATCTCCCAAAATGTATTTCTGCCAACATATATAGTCCATTCCTGCCATGACACAGGAGAGGCCCCACAGGACAGTGCACAGTATGGTGGAAAGATGCTTTGGCCGTTTAAAACGATAGCAGAGAGGGAAAAAGGTCCCCACATACCTCTCCACACTAATTGCTGTCAATAGGAAAAAACTGATATTGAATCCCCAAAAAGACAAGATATCAAATGCTATATAGAAATACACATCAAAAATAACACATTCACATACAATTAAACTGATAAAAAGGTTTGTGACGTGACAGAAGAGGACACTGAAATCAGCAATGGCTAAATTCAGTACGTATACTGTGTATTTAGTGTTTTTGATTCTACAGCAGAGAAACCAGAAAACAGCTCCATTGCTGAAAAGTCCAAAAACAGAGAAAGGTAGAGTAATATATAACAATATTGTCAGAGCCTTCTCTTCTGGCAATGAATCTTGAGTCTCATTTATCTTGGCTGCATGAGCAGTAGGCACAATCTCTGTGATCAAGGCATGTATGGAGTGGCCAGTATTCTTCTCTTCCCTGTAAAAATAGAAAGAACCCCATCATTATTAAGACTGTTGAACTTTGTATTGCAGGGGTGACAAACTCAAGACCTGGAGGACAGACCCGGCCCATGGAGTGCTTAGATCTGGTCTATGGGGTGGCCCTTGAAACAGGAAAGGACCGGCCCATGGTGCCTTGGCCAGAGAAAACGGAACCCAGGGGGAGTGCCTAGGCCACCACAAGTGCCCCAGACACAAGTGACATTGAGGTAACCATGCCCACCCTGGCCACATTCCCCCGAGGCCAAACACAACCCTGATGCAGCCCTCAATGAAACTGAGCTTGACCCCCCGCCTGTGGTATTGCAATGAAAAGGATTCAGAAAGAGCCATCTAACAAGACAGATTTCTCTCCTTGATTCCCTATAACATTCCTGTTAACACTTTATATGAGTAGATATCAGAGGTGGTATTCAGCAGGTTCTGACCAGTTTTGGAGAACCGGTAGCTTTTGAGTAGTTTGAGTAGTTCAGCAAATACGACCTCTGACTGGCCCCATCCCAATCTATTCTCTGCCTCATGAGTCCCAGCTGATTGGCTGGGTCTTCTTTTGTTGCCCTGCACAGGAGAACAGAGCTGGAAAGCAGGTTAGTGGGGTGGGGAGGGAATGGGATTTTGCAGTCACCTTCCCCTGCCACACCCACCAAGCCATGCCACGCCCACCAAACCACGCTCACAGAAACAGTAGTCAAAAAATTGGAATCCCACCCCTGGTAGATATAGTGAAATACTTTCGTACTTTAGCAAATAAATTGTTTGTGAAGTTTTTAGGCAAGCAGTCTTTTTTCCTTAGTATTTGCAGTGTGTCTACCTGCTCTACTCTATCTACCTGCTCTTTTCTTCTTTTTGCTTTCCAATTTTAACAAGTTCTGTGAAAGCTCTGTGGTAAGAAAACAAGATTTTTATCTCCACCAAACTGGCTCCTCTGTATGTGGATGCAGCTATTGCAGCTGGCAGCTGAATAAAGGGAAGGTCACTCTGACAAAACAAGCTACAGCACAATACTTTTGGCTCTTCTTGGCACCTAAATGTGTGTGTTTCTCTTTCCTCCCTATTCCCTTTTCCCTTTTTTGTTCTTTCTTAAACTGTCCTTTGTTTTCTTAACAACTCTCATCTCAACAACTCTCCTTAGTACTAAATGCATTTTTTTTCTGAAATACACATGGGACAGAAAAATTCCCATGCATTTTCCTCTCTGAGTTCTTGTTCTGTTTTACAGCTAATCTTTTAAGCAAGAAGAGAGTTTCAAACAATTATCATGAGCTGAGTGAGATGTTCTTAAACTGGTTACTTAGGTTTGCAATACACAAATGCTTCAGCTTGCTCTAAGCTGGAATAAATAGACCAAGACCAGGAAGCAGATGGCCTTGGGTGTGCCACTCAAAACAAAGAGTTCTTTGCAGAAAGGTAGCTGGTAACCTGGGACTTCCTGAACTCCCTGAAACAAAAATCCAGTAGCCCAGCTGGTTCAGAGGCACCCTAACACTGTTGAAGGTGAGTCTTCTCAGACATCTTTGCAGAATCTGCCTGATCATGGAAGGCTAGTTCAGCCCAAGACAAATCTAGTGTTGTTTGATGTTAAAACTAACCCTAACACAAATCCCACATCTGGTTGGATATTTCCAGTAGACACTATTCCACCCCCCTAACTCAGTTGCGACATGTAATATGGCTACTTAGTTATTAAGTAGTCAACAACATGATTGTATGTCCTGTTTTGGACTGTACCTCATATTTCTAGAAATCTGTAGTCTTCCGGATTTACTAGGTTTCAACTAAATGCCAAAAGAAGTCAACATGAAAGAATACCTTCCATTTAAATAATAATAATTGTGCTATTAATGTAAGTCTGAAAATGTTGTAGAAAGTTTTTCCTTCTCTAGAAATTGCCTATCCAGCCATTTGATACAAGTTTGGCAAGGGCATTTCAGTCCACCTCTTTCTGAAATATTTGCCTGATTTTCAAGGCTCAAATAGCAATCTCATCTGTCATAAAAATTCACGTGGTCTACTGAAATGTACACTATATCTCCCAATAGGGAAGAACTCTAGATTTGATGGCAGGCATATGTGCCTTTGCTGTTTAGCCCAAAAAAGGAAAAAGTTTCTCTTCTAATTTTTTCAAAACCTTAGCTGAGAAATTTTTTAAAGATGAGAAACCAGTGACCCCCAAATGAAGGGCAATATTCAAAGATTCTGTAGGGAGTCTGACAATCCTCATCTGGGAATCTCCTTATCACAGGAGACTAATCTCTAAATTTGGAGTGACACTGGGAATTTTAACAGAAGGAGTAAGAGCATTTGAGGAGGGGGAAAAATGAAAACCGAGAAAACATATTTAGGGAACACACTTAGTAGATGGAATAATAATGCCTACATCTGCAGTGAACGTATTTCCTTATATTCCTAACACGTTTTTTAAATTTCTAAACTTATTATGCAAAATCAGTATCCATAATTCTAATGCAATTCTGTTGATAAATTAGAAAGGCTAATGTTGCATTGAATTATATAGGCAGGGCAAATCCCCTTTATGTAAATGGTCATTATTTGATTACTTAACACTGAAATTCAGAGACAGAGCATACCTAGAAACTCTGAACAGGGCTGAGAAAGACCCTCATTAAGTTTCTCAAGAACTGCTGCCAGAAACTTTGGAATATCAAAGGCATTGAAACCTCTCCTTGTTCCCTAAAGCATATCCTAGAGTCAACTCCAGTTTCTCCCCTGACTGTTTTTATCAGCTAGGTGGGGCAGGGCTCCAATGTTGGACTTGTGTGATTAGAATTGTGGCTAATTTCCAAAATAGATATAATGTGGAAAGGATAGGCATGAATGCAGACACATACTTGCAATTATTTCTACGAACTAACCTAAACTACTAGTATGAACTAAAATTATGACTATATTGTAGAAAGTTAGCACCCACCCCTCTCCTAGAAGAATGAAATATTCTAGGAAATATTAAAAAAGCAGAATAGTATATTTTCCTGGATGAGAAAAGTAGAAACATGTTTTTAAAGACAAAGCGGCTTCCCATAGCTCCCTGCTCCCCCACCCCACTTTCAGCTCCAGGGTGATGGGATAAAGATATGGCCCTCAGGACACGAGAGGATTATCCCTCTACTCATCTCACCACATGGCACCTGGGAAGATTGCATCACTCAGCAAAATTCAACCAAGCTTGGGACTTAAGACAAGCTGCAAAGTTACCCCTGCATGGCCCCATGGGAGTCTGACAACCAATCAGGATACATTTCTTGCCACAGGAACAAGAAGCAAGTTCAAAGCCTACCAGAGATTCTAAATCTCTCTCCCTCTCTGATCCATGTGCTGTTTTGCCTAGGATCTCAATGTGGTTCTGTCCACCATTAAAACCATCCTTCCAAGCACTCTCCATGTTTCCAGTGTCCTTCTTCCCACTTGGAACTGAACCCAGATGGACATTTCTCCCAACAATTGTTACAGTGTTTCTCATGGAAATAATTAATGCTTAATTCTACTATACAGTGGCCTTAATTAAACAAGCCAGTAGATATCTGTACAGATACATTTATAAATAGAGGGCTTTTTGAAACAGTTCTTAACCATCTTACTTGTTCCCTCTCTTTAATCATTGTTTTGGTATGCTAGCTCTTTATCTAGTGGTCTGATTTTGGCATTGGCTCCTAGGTAACAGAAGAGCAGGGAAAGAGGAAAAAATAACTTTTTCCCAAGCTTCTTAGAATTCTAGTATCTTGGTTCAAGCATTTTTTTTGCTGACTCCTGGTCTGGCCTTTCTAAATTACTTCCTGGTGAAAAGAATAACTGAATGAGGAACTGGTTGAAGGACTTGGTGGTTTCCGCTTCAAGTTTTTCCATTCAGCCTTGTGGCTCGTTGGAAGTCAGGGGACTAATCTGTCCCTTTCTCAGCCTCCACCGCACCTCACAAATAGCTGTGAGAATGAAATGTAGGAAGCCTCATGTAAGACAGCATTGATGCTCATAAAAAAAGGCAGGATATATGTGCAACAAATAACTAATATACTTATTTGGGATGTGAATGCATGCATATACAGATTTCTGAAATGCAGTTTAAGAAGAGTGAAAGAAATGAACGTTTTAAAAAAGGGCTCATGCTATGAGTTCATACATTCACTGTATTTCTTAGACAATCCTGAAAAGGGAGGTAAAGCGTCCAGAGGACAAATTCATGCCAATGTGTATCTTGCATGAAGTACAGGATCACTAGGCAAACACAGTTGCTGTTGCTATGTTAATGGGCATTTCTGGATTTCTCAAAAGATATAACTGAAAGTTGGAGGTGCTAGCATTCACTTTTTTACACTAAGGCACATTTGGTTTTTCAGCCATGATTTACTAAATAAGGCCAAATGGGCTGGGTTCAACATTATATATCATTAAACCATAAACAATTGTTAACAAAACAAACAGCTAGATTCACATTACAATACATTCTAATCCCAAATAAGCCATATTATAGCTTCACTCAATGTGTGAAGTGAGCTGCTGGTTAAATCGGTTTTTCTGGGAGACTGATTAGTTTAGCCCGAAAATGAGCTGGAGACATTGTTCCTTTTTATTTTTCTCTTTTATTTCCCACTAAGGCTCATACTGGTTTTTTGAAAAATGCAAATCCATGAAATAATTATTTTCCCAAAGGATATTCTCAGATGAATTAATTAGCTCCCTTATGTTCTAAGAGGAGAGAGAGAGAGAGAGGTTGATTTTCCTCTTTCCAAAAAAAGAAGAAAATATGAGGTAAGACATGCAAAATTCATGTAAAGACTGCTGTGTGCATTTGAATGATAGGGTGAAGTGAGAAAATGTTATTCAGTGTGGGTACATAAATTATATACCAACAAGAATGAGAAAATCCTTAACTTATGAATAAAGAATAGCTGTGAACAAGGTGCTACGAAGAAATACTGTTCTATGGGCTATGATAAAACAAAAATCCAAAATCCATAGAAGCAATGCCTTTATGAAGCCAACTGAGGTGTTACAAAAAAAAATTTTTTAGAGTTTTCAAAAATGTCTTTTTCAATCAAGACAGTTAAAAGTAGGGAGAGAAAGAGTCAGAGAACAATTTTTTTCCTAGTCATGGAGCCATGTGTACACCAATGCATGTTCTTTGTGGGGCAAAATACATATTGGATCTTACCAGATACTGAATCTATTATAGAAGGGTCTTTCCTATACTATGCAGGTAGGAATAAACCAGTAATATTTTTAAGTCATCAGGTTTTGGAAATAAATAAATAAATAAATAAATAAATAAATAAATAAATAAAGCTACCCCCAATACAGAGAGTTCTCAATCACATCTTGGAACCTTCAACCAATTTTAGATTTTCTCATATCCCCAAAGCAGCAGAACAATGTTGAACAAGACTGAACAATGAAACACAATGAAAAGCAATGGAGCTGAAATAATATATTTCTTATTTTGTACAATTGTCTCCCTCCTTTTATAACATGTTTTCAAAGACTCACATTATCTGATGGTGTGACAATCTTTCTTGTCAGAAAAACTAATCTTTATCAGTCTAATGCATTATATTACAGATGTCTCAAATTCTATACTTACTATTTTGTTAATGCACACACCAATGTAAAAGATAAGAAAAAAAATCATAGGTAAATATCTGCAATAGCACAAATAAAACATTAAGATCGTGCAAGAATAGAAAAACGTGTAAGAAAGTGTAGTGCAAGAACAGACCAAAGAGAGCATTTTATGGCAAGCTATACTTTGGATCCAAAGTCACTTAATCATCAAATGAATAAAATATACAGTATAATATATATTATAGTATATAATACTTACCCTTTATTATCAGGTGTAAAGTTCTGAAACATTCTTTTCCCAGATAGTCAAGTGATCTTACCAAATGGTGACAGCAGGAAAATAAAGTTTAGCTAGCAGCAGAATGAAGACATTACCCACGCATCTTTATCTGCTCACAATTTGACAAATGGCCAGTGCTGGACTTTATTTGTCAGTGATCAGCAGAGCCAGTTTGGCAATGAAGAAAACTCATGAACTCATATGGGAAGAGAAGGAAACAGAACTTTTTTTCCCCAAGCTAGGTCATATCTGACACTTGCTGACACACCCATGATAGGTTTTATGTGAAAACTCTGCAGGTTCCAGAAATATTATGCATGTACATTCCTTAAGTATTTTTTGCATTAAGAATAATGGGCTAACACAGGGAAAGGGCTAATAAGAGAAAGAATTGAAAACGAAACTTTGAATAAGATTCATAGGTCTGACTATTTTTCCACATGATATACTATAGATAATCACTTGAAGGAGTAGAGTAGGGATGGGGATAGAGATAGCATAGCATAGCATAGCATAGCATAGCATAGCATACAGAATAGAACACTTTATTGGCCAAGTATGATTGGACACACAAGGAATTTATTACTGGTGCATACGCTCTCAGTGTACATACAAATGAAGTAGTATAATCATATGTAATTGCAGTGAGTCATAGAAAATAATAAAAACATCAAAACTATTGGAGAGCATTTCACATTGGCTGCCATCAGTGACGCCATCTTGAACTATATCTATTAATGGCCTCTTGAACTTGCAAATTAATTCATTGCTACAGCATTTACAGAGGGTCAAACATGGTTATTCACAGGGAGGGGTCATAAAAAAACTCAAGGTGGCAATCTTAACTGTGTAATTAAAATTTGACATGCAATACATATTAAAAAAGAACAGCTGTAATTTTGCAGTTATGGCCACCATGTCAAAATTTTGACCAGCTCCACCGATGGATACTCTTGGGACCAGCTATTCTCTTCCATCTTCTGATCCATGGTAAAATGCACCTAAAATTGATCAAATTTTCTGAGTGAGAGTGGGACATAAGTCTATATTAGTCAGTGGAAGAATGGGGTCTTCTCTGTTTTCCTTTTTCCATAGAGAAGATAAAATGGAGAAAAGTGAGACAAAGAATTCCTTATCAATTTCAATCATTTTTAGTGACCTTTTTTTGATCACTCTATCCTAGCTCATCTTCTTTTGTTCCCCTCTTTTAAAAAAAATCTAGAGAAATGAACTTCTCAGGGCTATAGAAAGATAATTGTGCTTTGTATAATATTACAGGTTCAAAACTTCTGCACGTTCCTCCTTTATGATGGAAATGAGTAGTTCTTACCTGTCATGGCCCAGGACTCATTTGAATCTGATTCTGATAAAGCTGCTCCAGCTGAACCAGTGGAATGTCAGCCTCAGAAGACACCAAGACAGGAATCACCTGAGGCTGATCAAATACAGGAACCATCAGAACAGCTGGAGAAGTCAGAAGATGGTGTACAGCACAAGTGTCAAACTCATGTTGTCATGGCAGCATCATGTGACATATTGGGGCTTTTTTCCTCTTCGCTAAACTGGGCAGGGGCACGGCCAGCATGTGACACATCCAGCCCGTGGCCTGTGAGCTTGAAAGCCCTGGTGTACAGCCTTCAAGTCTTCAGGCTCAATGGATAGAACAGGAGAGTAGAGCAAAGGCACTTAATGTGGCACTTTGCCAACCAAGGAACTGACTACCTTAACTGAAGTTAACTGGTTGCAGCATCATTTAAGATGCATTCCCACCCCATATTTCTCTATTGGAAGCAACTGAATGCTTTCTTTTGTTTGGTGTATTGTTCCTGTATACTCTGTTTGTACAAGAAAACTTTACATTCTGACCTTTCAGCAGGTTGATCTATCTGGTTTGATTCTTTCAATTTTGGATTGTACTTTAATTACTCTTCTGCATCTTCCTGTGGAAAGTGAATACTTGGGCAAGCTTTTTCTGCAACGGATTCTGACTTGCGCCCTTTTGATTTTCTGTCATTTATCTACTTAGCTTTGAGTAAATTGCTACCATCACCTGCCAAAAACTGTATGAAACCTGAAAGGTGACACACACCCTCACATTGCATCAACAGGAGTTTAGCAAAAGAATCAAGGAATCCTGCTTCTAAAGGATTTAGAAATAAATGGTTAAAATAAATGTACAGTATCCAGCTGCCAAGAAATTGCAACCTAATCTCCTTTCTCCCTTTCAATCAATTTGTTTAATGAGGTTGTAAAATTTAGTGTTCTTGGTTGTAAGAGACTCAAGAGCCCTTGTCATCTTGGCAATTCTTCCTTGACAACAGAAACTAGTTTTTCTGTGTTGCAGCTCACCCACTGGAAACAGCTAAACCACTTTATTTATTTATTTGATTTGTCAAGCACTTACAAGATAATAGGTATAAGTATAAACATGAGTAAGAATACAAGAAATAGGTACGAATAAATGGGGACAATAGGCCAGGGACGGTAGGCACGATGGTACACGTATGCATGCCCCAATATTTCACTCCGACTATTTCACTTCCCAGGTTCATTAACAGACAGATAGGATGGCTCTCCAGATCTTTTTAAGGCTTTCAACATTCATTGTTAATTATACTTTTTGTTGAAACCAACTGAGTTTTTCACAGGCTGTATTTGAGTGACGTTCTTGGAGTCTTCATGCTTTTAAACAGTTCCTATCATAGGCACCAGTGAACCCATGACTGAAGTATCCAAAACTACCTATTTTATGCAGAGGTTTAAAAAAAGCTTTTGAAGACTGCCAGAACATCGGCATAGGAATGTAGGAATGTTTTACAAGTTGACATGATAATTGGAAAATTTACAGATTGTACCAAGCAGGGATGGGATTCAAATTTTTTAACAACCGGTTCTGTGGATGTGGCTAAGTTGGTGGGTGTGGCTTGTTGGCCCTGTTATTTGCTGGGCGTGACCAACTCAATATCACGCACATTGAGGCATGCATCTCCTCGCCTGGCCTCTCATGACTGTGGGGATGCTGCAACAGCCGTAAGTGTGAAAAATGGTCATAAGTCACTTTTTTCAGTGCCATTATAACTTTAAATGGTCATTCCGCACAAGCAAAGGACCAGCAAAGGAGGGGAAAAAAACTCCAGAGAAGTTCCAGAGACAGGAAGTCTAGTCCTGCCAAGAACGTAATAAGGGTTAACGGAGAGGCAGTTTCTGTAAGCAACATCAGAATGTTTCCTTCCTGTCTTCCTTACAGGATTAGGCCAGTAATTTCTTCTAACAACCGGTTCTCTGAACTACTTAGAATGTTAACATGTTCTAGTGAATAGGTGCGAACTGGTAGAGTCCCACTCCTGTAAGGAAGGCAGGAAGGAAACATTCTGGTGTTGCTTACAGAAACTGCCTCTCCGTTAACCCTTATTACATGCTTGGCAGGACTAGACTTCCTGACTCTGGAATTTCTCTGGAGTTTTTTTTTTCCTCTTTTGCTGGTACTTTTCTTGTGTGGAGTGACCATTCAAAGTCACAATGGCACTGAAAAAAGTGACTTATAATCGTTTTTCACACTTACGACTGTTGCAGCATCCCCACAGTCACGAGAGGCCAGCTGAGGAGATGCGTGCCACGGTGTGAGTGATGTTGAGTTGGCCACGCCCAGCCAGTCACATGACCACAAAACCATGCCCACCAACTAAGCCACGCCCACAGAACCAGTTGTTAAAAAATTTGAATCCCACCCCCGGTCATAGCTGGTTCTATAGGTAGTAAATGCAAATCCTAGGGGTTTATCTGAGCTCCCAGGTTTGGTTGAAGTTTGGACTACTCTGAGATGATGGAATGAAGGAGCTTGTATTCTGAAAGGGTTTGGGCAATTCCTATTGTGGCTTAATAGCTTTTGTGCTGTTTTGGATCTTGTCTGAGAGTATTTGCTTATGAATAGAGCCATCTAGATAGTTGGCTTCTTCTTTCAATAAGCATGTTTTATTATTATTAACATGTTTCTCTATTTGTCCCTTTGAGGAAATATAATATTCTGCCTTTTTTAAATATTTCCCAAAATATTTCATTCTTCTAGGAGGGGTGGTGGTGACTTCCCACAGTTTATTTTGGGAAGGTTTTGTTGATCAGCTATGTATAACTTTAATAAGTTGGGTGAGAAATACATTGAAGAGACAAATGTGTTGAATCAATAAACCTATACAATTCTTGTACTGTTATCATATTGCTTTCTATAATGGCCACATTCGCTGAGGATAACATCCCGAGAAGCAGGAAATAAATTCTGTACACTTTCCTGCTTACAACATATCCAGTTGTCAAGTTTTTTGTAATCTAAGTACCCACTTTACTGTTTCAGTATATAGGGTTAATAAATTCAGTGAGAATCTAGCTTTCTTGATTGCAAGCAGTTCCTATGGCTTGAGAACTAATGTATTTTTTTGGACATTCCTTTTTTTCCCCAGGAACAAATGGCAGACTAGAGTAACCATTCTGAAATGTGTATTACAGGGCAGTTATTTTATTGTTGAGAAAATCATATGGGTATTTTCTGTTGACAAATTTCAATACACAGCATAGAAAAATGCAGGTCGCCAAATTTATGTTTGTATAAACAATTAATTACAGGGCCATCACTAACAGTCATTACAGGGCACCCAAATGATTCTAGGAAAAGAAATATTTTCTAGCCACTTGTCTGTAACCTTGACATCCTGTCACCCCCCCCCCCACCACGCCCACGCCCAGAAATGCTGATCCCATCAGCATCTTCATACATTTTTAGAACTTCCAGGCATTTAGAGCTACTATTTGATCTTTGCTCCATCTTCTTGGACACCAATATTTTATAGGTATACATGTTTTCCATAATATTCAGACAAGAGGCAAAAAAAGGACACAGATGTGTATAAGTGTTGCTTGCCCGATTGTTTCCTACAAGGCAGGGGTCACCAACCTTTTGGACCTCAGGGACCACCAAATTCATAATTTTAAATCCCGCAGACCAGAGACCCTGGGAAAATCCCAAAAAAGTCTGCAGGAAAATTCCCCACCACATTTTCCTACCAATCGATCATTCTTTATTTGGGTTTGCAGGATACCATCTCCAGCTCCGTTCTCG